GAGTCTCCTGCTGCTTCTCTGCTTCTCAAGGCAAAGAGGTTGAGAGCACAAGCATGGTCATAAGCATCTGAAATTTGCTTTAAAGTGGCCTGTAACGAGATTTAGGGTTTATGATTCATCCCTCTGATGTAACAGAAATGAAGGAAGTGTGTGTCACCTGGCCACGTCCCCAAATGGGCTGAGGAGGCAGCAGAGAAAGGCAGGAAATGCTGAAACATTGACAACTCCCTCAGTATGAGTAGCACCATTTAGTGTTTCCTGCACTTGAAAGGTTTTGATCAGCAAGAGGTGTCACCAGAAATAATTCTGAATGAATTTTATTACTTTAAAAATTATATTGTTTAAAAATTCATTATTAAATATGTAATTATTATTAATATATTTTATTATTAATTTTATTATTGCTACAATATAATGTTACTATTTTATTATTAAATATTTCTATTAAACTGCTGAGTTAACGGTCTTGGTTAGGAATTCTGCAATCTCACTGTATTGGACAGTTCTGTGCTGAAATTTTAGGGATTTTTCATTGAATTATGGACTCCTCGAAAATCTTGGGTTGAAGAGATCCTAAAAATCAGCCAGTTCCAGCCCCTGCCATGGTGGTTTAGGTTTAGAGTGGGACATATTCTCACCAGTGAACATATCAATGCAAAATACCTGTGGAAGGTCTGATTATAAAGGACGTGGTAAAATTACCAGGAGAAATGAAATAATCCTGCTTTCTTGAACTTTCCTCAGTTAAAACACTAATTCCCAGTCTGGCTTTAAAAACCCCACTTGTAATCTCCATATTAAGGTCTATAAACTTCATCCTTAACTTTTTATTTCTGCTGTATTCCTGTTCTGTGCGGTGCCAAATATTATTGCTTTTGTGTAATTGAAACAGAGCTGTAGTTTGATTATTAAACAGGGAAGGTAATTGTGTTTGGCTCTAAAGGGGGAAGCAAATGTGGACAGCAGGAAAAAAAAGGCTTAAATTGTGGAAAATTTTGTTTTATTTGTTTGTTTGGTTGGGTTTTTTTTTTTCAGAGCAGAGCTAGAGAGCAGATGCTGCTGGGGGACAACAGTCCCAGCTTCAAGGGGTGCATTTCTGGTTCCATGGGGTGGCTCAGGAAAGGGGGTTTGACAAGAACGTGTTTAAGGGTGGTGTATGGATTTTTTTTTTTTTTCCTCCCCTCTGTTTTCACCTATACCCTGCAGAAATTTTGCATTTTCATGCTGTGTTGTAGGACACGTCCCCCAGCCGTGGCTCAGCCTGGCTCTGCACCTGCAGCGTGGAATTCTGGTGGGAACAATGCTCAGGAAGCTCAGGAAAAAGGAGGGTGTCAGGTGTGCTCAGCACCACGGGTGATTTCCTGTTTGGGGCTTAAGAAAAGAGAGCAAGCAGCATGTGGCACCACATGGGTCACATTTTTGACCCTAAAATCAGAAGGGGACAATACAGATCTGTGCCACAGCCTGGATGGGCAGGAGCCAGGTGATGCAGTGGGTGCTTGACATGTCCAGGCAGGGCACATTCCTGTTTTATCTGCCACAGCTGTTAAAACCAATAATAAATACTTATTTACAATGAAAATCTGAGGTATGAGTACAGCAAAAAAAAAAAAAAAAAAAAAGGAAAAAAATTACAGGTGAGAGAGAGCTCTGAGCAAGATGAAAGAGAGGTTTGAATTATTTACAATTCTATTTATTCTTAAAAAGCAGATGCCCCACACTCGGAACAAATCCCTGCTGTGTTCCCCCAGCCCTGTGCCTGGTTTTGCCCAGCCTGGGGTTGTCCCTGGAGCATTTCCAGGGCTGCTCTGGGAGCAGATGTGGGATGGGAGGAAGATCAAGTGGCTGCTGCCAACTCTCGCGAGCTCCATGTCAGAAAGAGTTGATTATAATGTCAGCACTGGCCAATTTACGGGCTTAAAGCAGCAGCTGCACCGCTGCATTTCCCCCAGGGATCCCAAGATCCCCACTCTTAAAAACTTTGTAGTTTCTTGTAATAGGAGCAGGGTAAGTGATTCTCTCTTTGCACGTCTCTGCCTGCCAGGATAATTTGCGGTTCAGCTTGATTTGCGCGGGGATTGGGATCTCTGGGAACGCTCTGCTCTGCCCATTTGTTGCTCTCCGGGGGAAGCTGCCTCTGCTCTGCAAATGGAACAGCGTGTGTAGCAGACCTTGGCATTATTCAAGGGATCCTGGGCTAAGTAAATTAAGCTGAGCTAGAAATCACTTATTAATTCAACCATCTTTCCTATTTAAATAGCGATTATGTAGTCCGGTGTATAGATTTTTTGGCTGGGTAAAGATTTGCAAGGGAGAGGGAAGAGGCTTTGAAATAAATAGTGTTCCCTCGCTGAATAAGAATGCAAAAGTGGAGTCTGTTTAACTTTTGCTGGGGGAAACTACTACAGCAGCGGGTTTTTAGTATGTGCAAATACACTGCATGATGTAACTCTGCTGGGTTGGTGTGGATGAGCTGAAGCAATCTTCTGACCCTTCTACTCTCGTTGTAATCATCAAGTAATGTTTGTTTTGCTCCATTTGCTTTACATTGCTGAGTTTGGTTTAAAGCAGCATTAAAATCCTTATGAAATGTAATATTTGCCAGGCATTCAAGGTGTAGTAATAATCCTCTGTCACTTGCTACTTTTGTTAATATTAGCAAAGTGACCTGAGAGTAGATGAGTCCTCTCATTCAGTAGCACAAAACTTCTGTGTTTTTCAAGCTTGATCCAGCTTGTTCTTTGAAATGCCAGAGCTAATTTAAAAGGAATAGAACTGAATTTTTTGGTGTTTTTTTTCTCACTGCTATTATGATCTAAAACTATTGCCTCTATATTTTGCAATGCTACATTGTTTATCCCATCTCTTTTTAATTAACAGAAACGTGCAGGAAGAGAATTAATTTTAATTAGCATTTAGGTGGATTAATCTTGAGGAAAAGTCTCTTGCTTTTCTTAGCATCATTTTCTCTTCATAATGACAAGATTTTAAATACCTTATTATTTCCAGCTTGTTGTGGTTTGGTCATGATTAAATTCAGTGAAGTAAGAGTGTCACAACAACAGATTTAGAGAAATAACTTCTCCCATCTCACAGTGGTACTGGGTGCTCCAAAACCCAACTGGATCCCCCCTCCATCCCTTCTCCATCATTATCCTTCTCCCAGCTTTAGTGGCTTTTCAGGATTTTGGGGCTGGATTTGCAGAGGGGCTGAGAGGAGCCTGGGATGCTCAACACTAATGATTTTTTAAGCACAGATTTACAGAGCAAACCAGATCATTCTTCTCACCTCTCCTTCTATGGCCTCTCGTAAATCTTATTGAGAGAGTTTTAAAATGAAACGTGCTGTGTTAAAAAAGTAATCCCAAGTCTGTGTTGGTTTAGCAGGCTGGAAATACTCGGCAAACTGGCTAAGCTATGCCCAGTTCTCTCAAAGACAGTGGGATTTAGGCTTGAATGTTTTAGCAAACTGGGGTGAATACAGGCTCTTGTTTTGGTCTCTTTGGAGGTTTGGGGTGGATATCAGACAAGGTTCTTCCCCCAGAGGGTGCTGGGCACTGCCCAGGCTCCCCAGGGAATGGTCACAGCCCGGAGGCTGCCAGAGCTCCAGGAGGGTTTGGAGAACATTCCCAGGGATGCCCAGGGTGGGATTGTTGGGGTGTCTGTGCAGGGCCAGGAGCTGCAGTGGATGATGAGCCCTGTGCTGCCTTTCAAACTCAGGCTATTCCCTGATTCTATGCCTGGCACAGAGAGAGGGGAGACAAAAGCCAGTGAATGTGTGACTGAGCCTCCTGCCCATGCCAGGACGAGTTGTCCTGACCCAAACTCTTTGGGACCTGCTGGACCCCGTGAGCTGACAAATCACATCTCTAATATTTAATCAAAAATGGGACAGTTGCAGGTTTCTGTTAGTCAAGCTGAATTCTTGGTGGAGTGTAAGACCAACTCTGATGTCTATCTCTCCCATTTGCCACCTCATCTATTTTATTTTAACAAAACAGCCATAAATATTTGGCTCTTCTAAAATTTATATATTTTCTGTCTGTTTAGATGAATGCTAAAAATATTGTCCCTGAAGATTCCTCCCTGCTCCTTTGATGCTGTCTCAAAATCAGGAGCCCCTTTGCACAAAATCTTCCCTTCCTCCCCTCTGCTTCATTTTCTTTCCAAGAACAGGCAAACAAGCAGGAGGAGCTCAAATTAGGCCACAGCTGTATTTTCCAGAGAAATTATCCTCATTCCTTTTAAGGACACCAGTGCTCCTCATTAACAAAGAATAGCCTGTTTAAAGGGACAGGACAAAGAATGGGATTTGTGACAGGGAAACGGGCAAAAAAAAAAATAGAAGGATGCTTTGTTGAGCATTTTCAGATATGTAAACCACAGAAATAGATTAATGCAAATAATTTTTTTTGGTGAATTTTTAGTTTCAAGGATGGTGCTGATGTTTTATTTGAAAAGGTTGGGGTAAATAAGATTATTAGGGTGTTTAAATGTGACACATAATCAGCATTTGTATACTTAGCTTTACGGTAATACAGATTATCACCTGGAAATGTTCTCAGGAAGAAAAGAGCAGACCATACCCAAATTATTAGGCACTATCTTCATATATTCAAAAATCCTTGATGTTTTAGCATTTTAATATGAATTCTAAATAGCAGAAGTATGACTGCTTCATATTACTGTGCTGGTTGTAAACTTGGTTAAGATGCTCTATGAAAAAAAGGTCTTAGAAGAAATTATTCATTTAGGCTTTGGTTGGTGGGTAAATCATCTGCAGTGGTCAGAGCCTGCTTGTATGATTTCATCTCTCCTGGTTTGTCTTCCTCAGTTCTACAGTTTTTAGCAAGAGAATTTTTCTGAAGTAGTGACCAAATACTAAATGCTGAACACAATCTTTGCAACACAAATAACCAACAAGAACTATTTAACAGACTATTTTGGTACTAATATATTGCAGCACTAATTCTGAATTTATTTTTCATCCTGTGTTCCAGGCATCATGATTTGGACAAATGGTTTAAGTCTCGTCACTGGATTTCTGATGGGCTTTCTTCTCCTGTCCGTGTTCACCAGGAAGGTGGTGCCTGAAGAGAACATCATTGCAACCAAGAAGGGCAAAATCAGAGGGACCAGCCTGCAGGTGCTGGGGGGGACAGTCACAGCCTTCCTGGGAATCCCTTACGGGCAGCCCCCCGTCGGGAGGCTGAGATTCCAAAAACCAGAACCTCGGGAGAAATGGGCAGAGGTTTGGGATGCCACCAAACACGCAAACTCCTGTTACCAGCCCATAGACACAACTTACCCAGGCTTTGCTGGCTCGGAGATGTGGAACCCAAAAACCAACCTAAGTGAGGACTGTTTATACCTGAATGTGTGGATCCCTTCTCCCAAGCCCAAGAACGCCACTGTCATGGTGTGGATTTATGGTGGCGGCTTCGAGTCTGGGTCCAGTTCCCTGCCTGTCTATGATGGGAAGTTTCTGGCCAGGGTGGAAAGAGTGGTCGTGGTTTCCATGAACTACAGGACTGGTGCACTGGGGTTTCTGTCCTTGCCAGGAAACCAGAAAGCTCCTGGAAATGCAGGTTTATTTGATCAAAGGTTGGCACTTCAGTGGGTCCAGGAGAACATAGCAGCCTTTGGAGGCAATCCCAAAAGCGTGACTCTGTTTGGAGAGAGCGCTGGCTCGGCCTCTGTCACCTATCACCTCCTTTCTCCTGAAAGCCACCCTTTGTTCACCAGGGCCATCCTGCAGAGTGGGTCTGCAAATGCCCCCTGGGCTGCAATTACATCTTCTGAGGCCAGGAACAGAGCAGTGGCTTTGGCCAAACAGCTCCAGTGTCCCACCAGCAACGAGTCAGAGCTCATTTTCTGCCTTCAAAACAAGGACCCGAAGGAAATAGTGGAAAATGAAATTTTTGCCGTTCCATATGGTTCTCTTTTACAAATATATTTCTGTCCGAGCGTGGACGGCGATTTTCTGGTGGACATGCCAGAAGTACTGATGGAGAATGGTCTTTTCAAAGAGACCCAGGTCTTGGTGGGTGTCAATAAAGATGAAGGGTTATCATTTCTGGCATACGGAGTCCCTGGCCTCGACAAGGATAGCGATGGCTTGATCAATAAAACCCAGTTTGAAGCAGCTTTAACTCTGGCCTTCCCAAGAGCGAGCAAACTTGCGATAGAGTCGATCATCTTCCACTACACGGACTGGGAAAACCTGGGAAAGCGGGAGCACTACCGGGATGCCATCGATGATGTTATCGGGGACTACAACATCATCTGTCCCGCCGTGGAGTTCGGCACCAGCTTCGCCCAGCTGGGCCACCACGTGTTCTTTTATTTCTTTGAGCATCGCTCCTCCAAGCTGCCCTGGCCGGAGTGGATGGGGGTCCTGCACGGCTACGAGATCGAGTTTGTGTTCGGACTGCCCCTGGAGAGGAGAGTGAATTACACCAAAGCTGAGGAGCTCCTGAGCCGCTCTATCATGAGACACTGGGCAACTTTTGCCAAAACTGGGTGAGTTACTCTGGAAGTTTGGTTGGTTGGTTGGTTGGTTGGATGTTGTTTTTCCAGGGGAAAAAGCTTGACTGCTTTGGAGCCTGGCTGGAATGATGGAAACAGATTAATTGTTCAGTTATCCAGAATTTTTATTTTAGTTCTGACAAAAGCACTGTTTCAATAAAATAAACTGTTGATGTGTTGCTCCCTGTATTGGACAAGCTTAAGGGAACAATGTTTATCCACACATAAAAGCAAGTACAAAACATTTCTTTGCCAGGGCAGCGGTTGTTCCAAAGGCAGGTAATGGTTTCTAGGGTAAGAAACAACATATTTCAAACGCTAGAAAAGACTTCCAGCAGTAGAAGTAGGAGGAAAAAAAGCCCAATTTCCTTGAGGATGTAATTTGCTCAGAACATTCAAGCGTATAACAAGGAGGTGTGTCACGTTCACATGACGAAAAGATTGGGATTTCAGAAAGCCTCTCCTCCCTGAGTGCTGTGAGTACAAGCCCATGACAAATCACTCTCCAGGTCCAGTCCACTCGTCTTGAAGTGAAATATGGCCCAGCCTGCAAAAGGAGCAAATAGGAATGTTTCATTTGGGTGTTGGAAAGGATTAAATCCAACCCCTTTCCAGCTGGAGTCAGGAGGAGGGAGGCAGCCCTTGCTCCTCTCAGCAGGGCTGGGGGCTCTCAGTGAGATGCTCAGTTTGAAATGAAAACATTTCAGAGCAGCAACAAAAACAGCCCCTTCCACAACAATCATATAGGATTTGTCCCAAGCCTGGTGGGAAGGGGAGGTATCTTTTTCCAGAAGTTTGGTTTGTGCTCTCTCCTGAGAAAATTATGCGTACAGAAATTTGTTCCTTGGAGAACACACAACCAAACAGTCAAGTCACACTCTAAAAACATTTCTTTAACTTTAGTGTTAAAATCCTGCATTAATTCTGTTTCTAAGGTGGAGCCTTTGTTTGATTTGTCAAGGATATATGGATTTGTACAGGCTGAAATCAACATTGGAACAGGATCTAATTAATTTTTTAATAGATTAGAAACCAGAGGGGACCACTGTGCTCATTTAGTCCACCCAACCTTGTACATAACACAAAACACAGGTAGGACTGAAATGTTCCCACTGATTAAAAATGTTTCCACTGATTAAAAATCCAGAACAAACATTGTTAGGTTGTTTTAAATCTTAATTCCTCTTAAAATGTTACAATATAAAAGTTAGTGTTTCCAGACTAAATTTGCCTAACTCTGCATTTTCCAGGTTTTACATTTTGTTTGACAATTTGTAAGATTAATTTTATGATTTTTGTTCCATTTGTTGATTATTAAGGATCTATTAAAATGATCCTTAATCCCTTTTTTCTAACTCTTTGTTAAACAAACAGATCACCTTAAGACTTGCATTAATGTGCTTTTTCTCAAATAATAACTCTTCACCTTTAAACCTGTAATTCATCCACACCTTGTTGGAACTTTCCCTGCCAGAATTAAACACTGTCATCCCCACAGAGTTGTAATTCCAGCTGTCACCTCTCCCTCAGTTCAACCTGACATCCCATATTTTTCCATCCACGGCAAGTTTTGTTTTGTGCTTTGTGGTGTTATCTTGGGGCTGCCATGTGTCAAAGGCTCCACCATCCATCCCAAATCCACATTCCCTCCCTGCCTGGGCTCTCTCCAGCTCCAGGACACCCCAAAATTGGGATTGTCCCTGCACCTCATCCTCCATGGTGAATCCACTGTTTATTTTTATGTGCATCCCTTTTTTAACATATTTACTTATCAATGAGTGTGATTAATAGATTGATTGATTGATTGCCTTGATTTATAGGGGGATTAATTACCTTAACAACCCCCATCCCCTTTTTATGCTGGAGCTTGTAATAAATATTTCTCTTATCAGAAGAGATGAGCACATAAAAACTCAGAAAATAGCTGTACCAATAGCTGTACTCATCACTGCATAATGCTTTCATACAGCTTTAATTATTGTAAAATTTAATCTAAAATTTAATCCACGACCTCTTCCTGCCTCCCTCTCCACTCAGAGGCTGAACTCACGGGGGTGAGTTTGGTGGGGAGGGCTGTGATGCAGAGCAAAGCTTCTAGTGGGGTTCAGTCTGGGATTGAGCAGGGAGGTTGATTTATCAATGCCAAAAATGCATCTGGTAGATTCCCAAGATGAAGTCAGGCGTTGGGAAAGGCTTGGGAGCACTTCCTGCACCATGAAGATGTGCTGTGACACCTTTCCTTTGGGGCTGCTGTTGGTGGAGAGCAAAGTGAGTGAAAGTTCCTTGTTCCATCCTGCCCTAAAAGAGCCTGCAGCAGGATCTTCCACCAGAGACAGCACATCTTGCCATTAAACACAACTATTTCTTAGTGGAAAAAGAGAAATTCAGGTCTATGTTTGATTTTGCAGAGCAATATTTACATTTAGTGGAACTGCTGGTTTCCACTGGATTATGTATATATTTAATTTTCATGTATATATTTAATTTTCATGTATATAACTTTTATGTATACATGTTTATATATAAATCTCAATAACCTGCTCTGCAAAACACTGTTACTGTCACTGCAGCTCCTAAAATTAGACAGCATAAGGTACATTCAGGTTTAAGTTTGTGGAAGACAGTGCTGTCACCTACTCTGATCATCATTCACACTATAATTAGATTACCCCACAGATTGAATTTCAAGTGGTTTCCACAGCAAACAGCAAATAATCCCTCCCTCTGCTCCCACCACGAGGATCCAAACCATCACTATTGGGAAAAACAACACAACCCAGCAATTTCTGTGTGAGTGAAAGATCAGATCAGGATTAACTCTCTGTGTGACTCTTTACTCATTATCCAAAGCAGAGACATCTAAGGTTTTGCATCCCATTATTCAGAGTGTGCAAGCAGTGGGGAACTAATAAAAATTCTTAATATTTCCAAAATTAATAAGATTTTTTTTTTTCCCAGCACATTTGAGCACAGCAAACATTTATAAGGAGCTGGGGAAGCCCCGTTTTGACATAATGTTTGTAGGAAACTCTGGCATGATCAAAGGGCAAATCTCTGAGGGGAAAATTACCATTGATGTCTCCAGGAGATGAAGAGAAAAATCAAGCAAAAATGAGGAATGTTGTACAGCACATTTTTTAGTGAGGGTGTTTGACCTAATATTCTAATGTGCTGAAGTACAAAAGCACAAGGGAGGGGAGAGCAGCCTGCAGAGGAAAGGAGATGAAGTAGAGTCAACAAAACTGGAAGAAATCTTGTTTTTCCTGGTGTTTTCTGGCTGGGAGGGACTGAGAGGTGCCAGAGCTGCTTCTCATGAGGGGCCTTCAAGCATAAACCTTGACCTTTGTGATCTCTGGGTTTAATTATAATGCAAGGAGTAAAAATACTGATAGGAAAATTAAAAATATGCACTTGGTTTAACCCCAGCCAGCAGCAAAACCCCACAAAACTGCTGCCCTCTTCCCCCACAGAGAGAGGGAAGAGAGAACTGGAGGGATGAAAGCAAAGAAAACTTGTGAGAAATCCTTGATGTCATGTAAGAACAAAAGAAAAGATGTTAGGGGCAGAAAGTGACTCCTTCAAAGCATCCCAAGAGTGTGAAATCCTTGATTTCTGCCTTTATCAGTAAGTAAAAGGACACTGTCAGCCAGCCCAGGGCTTTCCCAGCCCACCACCATCCCCAGCAGGAGTGGATGCAATTTTCCAAATCTCTGGGCACTTCCTATTTCACATCCTGGCTAAAAATAAACATCAGTGATTAATGACCTTGTTTTTTTTTTTTTCCTGGAAAGTTACAGGCATTTCTATTTTTGAATATAAACAGGGAATGGAGATGTAGAGCATTCAGTAGGAGGCAGGAACACACATTTCTCCTGTGAGCCTTGGAGCTGGTGCTGCTGTGAGATCCAATTTCTCTTCTGGATCCCAGGGAATAGGGTCATTTTTAGGAATCTGCCACATATTGACATAGTCTGTGAAGATCCTGCTCAAAAAGTCTTTTTCATGGCTGAATTTGGGTATCAAGTAGGTTTAACCAAGTATCCCAGCAATTCCTTTTAAAGCTATGAAGATATTCCACAAAATACTTTTATTTTTCATACATTTGGGCCTTGAATTCATCATACCCTGAAAAATCCTTGTTCTACCAGCAAGGGAAGAAAGAGACTTACTACTCATGCTGTCTGAATAAATCAAACTTAATAAAATATTTGGGTTATAAGAAAGAACAGATTCCAAAATCGAAGTTGTTGATTTACACTTCAAGGTTGAATTCCTCCCTTAATCTTGGCCTGGGATTTCCTCAGTTTATTCTTGCATTTTAGAGTATTGGCAGTTGAATATCAATTCATATCCTCAAAAATCATTGCATAAAATACCAGATATCACCACAGTTAGACGAAGAGAGATGGGCAGACTGGATTCAGCAGGAAACCATAGTGTGGTGTCATAAAAAGTGCTGGATCAGCTCTGGTTTGACTGTGTTTGTGTGGAAATAACATTTATTTTAACAATATTGTCCATTTTCAGTGGCCTTCTCCTAAATTTTTCCCAGCATATTTGATTTTAAGCCATACTCATGAAAAAATAGAAATCTCTCTTTTTGAGCGTTTTTAATCTTTCTGAGTTCCTTTTCCTGCCTCACTTTTGTTATTCTTCAGGAAGCTTTTGAAAGCAGGCAGGAGACACTAACAGGTCCTACAAATCCCAAGCTCCAGGATGCTCTGCCAGCTCTGGGAAGGAGAAATTTTATTTATCCCTAGAAAAACTAGATGGGATCCCAAATCTTTGGGTGCCTTTTCTATTCCTTTATCCATTAGATTTGGTAACTGTGTTCTTTAGCGATGAGAGATGCAAAGTGACAGGAGCCAGACAAATCAGAGGAGCTGAAAACTCAAGCAAGAATATAACGGAGCGCACAAAGATAATATTTTTTAAGGCTTTGTGAAAAATGTTTCTGATAAAAGGAAACGGGCAAAACTTGTCTCCCTGCCAGT